AGAATTTCATAAATACATATTAACAATATTATGAGATTAAGGCTTGTTGTGTGAGTCAAAACCCTGCAGTGTTTTTGCTGTGAAGATTCATTTCTAGCACCAATTTAGCAGGACTGTGCTGTGTTTCACTCCCCCGGTAGTGAACTTAACTGATGGCTGCCAGCAAGATTGAAACCAATATAAGCCTTCTAAAAATCAAGATAGGAAGTATCAGTGAGATATACGGGATTACAACATTTACAAAAGTATAAAAAAATAAAAACAAACCAGAAGTATCCAACTGAAGTCTGAGCAGGCTCAATAGCCTTGGAATGGGGCTATCAATCTGAAAAGGGGAAAAAAGAGAGGGGGGAAGAAATGGAACGAAGGATCCTAAAGGAGATACAGGCTAGCCAAAGCTGTGATTGGTGCTGTCATGAATAGGACCACAATACTTATAGAGCTAAACCTTTATTCACGAACCTTCTGAGAATATAATTCCTAGACAGAAAGAATAGAGGATGCATCACCCCAGCAGAACTTCTCTGCAGCCCTCTGTATAGAATTTTGTAAATCTGAGAGCCATCACACATAGCCTCACACCCTGAAGAAAATGATAACCGGCTGGGTACAGACAGCACTGTCTACACAGAAAGGAGGATGCAGCACTGGTATAATAAAACCTCTGCCAAATCCATTTATTCTTTTCCTTATGGTTGCTTTGCATATTCTTGTTGTATGTGAAAGCATAGCTCATGAATGCATGAAGTTCCTACCGAATGGAAACATAAGCTCTTGGCTTGGATCATTATTGTCACTACCCAAGGCACATTACCCTGATTATCCAAAACTCTACACCTGCATAGGTATTTCATTCTGTTTTGTATAAAGTCCTAGAACATATAGTTTATTGTTTGCTTCAAGTGACAGAGGTTATTGGCAAAATCTGTTTCCTTAAAGTCCCATAAACTAGACTATTTAAAAAATATCCAAGCAGACTTTCATGAAATGGAACATCAGGTTTTAATTAAAAACCTCCCTGGTTGATTTTACCAATCTGATATATATATATATAACAAAATTTATCCAATCCTCACAAAGTTAGATTCACAGCATACTCTTCCACAGTATCTCATTTCCACTCCAAACAAAATGTAATTGCTCGAATGTTTAAGATAATATATTTTGAAATACAAATAAATTAAGAAAAAGTGAATGGCAAAGATTTATGTGTTTTTTTCTCTAAAAGACCCCAAACATCCCCCTTAAAAGTGATGCTGTGTAACAAATACCAAGATGAAAAAAAGTGGATCTGCAATATGCTTTGAACATACATATATAATTCAGTTTGGAAATTCTTTGTCAAAGTAGAACATCTTTTCATAGTAAGAGACCACTTACTGTGAGATGGAGGGGTGGGGGATAGCAGAACTTTTATTTAGTCCTGCTACAAGAGAATACATTCTTATAAATAGGCTGACAGGGGCAGAACATATTAAAAGTTTAACTCCCCTCACTGTATCCTTTTTCTGAATCTAGCCATTAGTATATACATGGTTATGAACCCACTAAATAGACAAAAAGTAAAAGAAAATGAAAATAAAGAATTAAAGAACTCAGTTATGCATTCTGCGAATACTCCTACCTAGTAAGGAACAAAAGCAGTATAGCTTTCTTGATATCTAGTTGCAGTTCTTTTTTCTTTTCTTCCGATTTTTTGTAGGAAGGAGTGCTGCAAGCACCTCATTTTATTTATTTGTTTATTTATTTATATTTCAAATTTAGTCACCACCCATTTCACTCAGAAAGTGATTTATCTATTAAGAATCTCAGAATTAAACAACTGATATGGATTAACAAATTTATCTTCCTAAAACAAGCAGTATATACTGAATAAGTAGTTAAAATATTATTTAAAAAATCTATAATGGATAACAATTTATCCTTTCCATTCCTTTGAATTAAAAAAAAATCCTAATGCTGGGGACAAAATCATGGAACCAATCTGATCTGACAATTCTTCCCAGTAAAATACTAAATTCAGGAACTTAAAGCCACATGAGAAATGTCTTTGAGAATTACTGCTCTTTAAAAAGGAGATTAAAAAGAAAAAGACAAATATACAGGCATACCTCATTTTATTGTGCTTTGCTTTATTGTGCTTTGCAGATATAGTGTTTATCAAACAGCACTGCACGCTACAGAGAAATCTTTTGTGAAAGGAAGAGTCAATCGATGCGGCAAACTTCATTGTTGTCTTATTTTAAGAAATTTTTAAATTAAGTTACGTACATTTTTTTAGGCATAATGCTATTGCACCCTTAATAGACTACAGTATACTGTAAACGTAACTTATATGCACTGGGAAACAAAAAAACTCGTGTGACTCGCTTTATTGCGGTATTTGCTTTATTGCAGTGGTCTGGAACTGAATCCGCAATATCTCCGAGGTACTGTATGCCTGTTTAGGTGCCAGAGATGCATAAAAGCATATTCCTATTCTATCAGTTCCAGTATAAAGGGTGAAAAACAGTATTTGAAATATAGATGAAACAACCTATTCTAGGTCCCCCACTTAGCAACTCTATTCTATTTTTATTACAGTTATATCCTACTGCAATCTGTTGATTCTTGGAATCTAAACTTTCTCACAATCTATTTAATATGCTAGAGAAATTCAATATAGATGCATATTACATTCACTCAAGTCTAGGGCAATCAAATGCTTCTGCAAATTTGATGGGCAAAGAATTAAAAAAAACACACACACAGTGGGAATGAATGTATGCTTATGATCACTTCTTCCCTCACTACAGAGATTAGTTTAACTTTATTTAGAATTCCAAAGGAAGAGACACTACAGAGACTAAAGGCAATAAAATAAAATAAAATAAAATAAAATAAAATAAAATAAAGTTTTAAAAAGATAAATGTTATATAATATTAACATTTAAAAGTTTATAAAGGACTAAGAAAGCTGATTAATCATATACATGGTGTGAAAGGAACTGGCATGTATAGATTATTAATATTTAAAAACTGCAAGGCCTAAACTGTTCCCTTCAACCTCCCAATAGCAATTGCTCAACATATGTCTACCTCTCTAGGCAACCTTCTAGAGATACCTTCTCTAGATTGTCTTCTGCAGATAGACATTACCTTTCCAGTCCATTTGCCTCAGGACTGTTATGCATACCTAGTCCATGTGATGTGAGACTGGTAAGTCCTAGAGGTGGTGTTTTTCAGTGATTGCCCCCACCCTATGGAACAGCTTCATCCTTCAGAAGTTGGACCGGTGACAACTATTGGCCACATTTTGAAAAGTGGTCAAAATTCAGCTATTCTGCCTTTGAAAGCTGATGTCCTTTCATGCTGGATGGTATTGTTGATTATTTAATGGTGATTATAACTATTTTATTTTCTACTGTAGCTTTATTGTATTCTTGTTTTCTTTTTGTATATTTTTATTGCTGTAAACTTCCAGGAGTCTTTTTGATTTTGGTAGTTCATAAATGAAATAATTGTTTTGTTTAAAAGGTTACGAGTTTTCTCCACATTGGACAGCCTGGACAGTTTAGGTTATTAACTTTGAGCACCAAGCAGTGAACAAGGGGCATTGCAATAAGACTTGCAAAATAGACTTGGTATTTCCCAACTGGTAGGGACATAATTTTTCTTGGTTTGGAATATTGTTGCATCTCTTTTATACTTATATAAATGGCATTGGCAAGGTATTAAATCTTTCCAGGGAGTAGGCTCTTTGGTACAGCACACAGAAATGCTAATTAATCAATTAGCTGAAATAAATGTTCTTCCTCCCAGACCACCCTCATAATAGCAGAGGATTGTGCTCCAATCCTTATGGGGATCAATGTTGAGGACACATTGGTTTAATTAAAAGTTGGTTTGCTTGAGCCCTAATGGAACCAAATATTAGATTGAAAGACTATAATATATAAGATCGAGTTTGATTCCTTTTTTCCAGGATAACCGGAAGTTATCCAAAAGAGTCAACAAGACTGAAGATCAACTTTGCCCTAAATCTAAGGTAGTAAAGCCCCATGAGAGCCCCTACAGGAGCAAGTCCTGATTCTTAGTGTAATTAGAAACTGGGTACATTATAAGGGACTCACTACAGATATTAAAAATGTTGATTGGACTGCTTCAAGGGGTCTTGAGTCTTTATAAGAGCAATTCTGGGAATCATAAAGCAAAAAAGTAATCTCTTTGGCATAAAGGAGAACTAAAATGGATTTGTCCCTCAAATTTAGCAGGATGGAATTTATTATTTTCCAGAATACAAATTTAAAAGAGAAGGTAGCCAATCCACAGCCTTGTTTCACTTATTTCTGGATGGGAAGTCAGAAAGACAAGCAGGAGCACTTCTAATTTCCTTTAAGGTATTTTTGGGAGTTTCATGGCCAAAATTAGGAGTTTTCAATCAAGAGAAGAGATTGCCAGCTTCATCCAAAAGCCCCAAAAGGTCTGATAGCACTTTAGATTTTATATTGTTATCCCCTCAGCTACTTGAAAAATAAGTTTGAAGACATTAAACAAATGAATGTACTATTCCTAATCTGAAAACAAACAGGATAATTTGCTATTCCCAAATGCTAGGAAAGCTGCAAGTACAGTCACAACTGGCTATACTCAAACATGATGGAACACTATATATGTGCATGCCATATATGTAATCTGGACTGTCCTATGGATTTACATACTCTGCTTAACATTACAATTTGTATACATCCTTCATTTTGTTGTTATTTTTTTTATCATTTCTGAATGTTTTTCTAGCTTTTTTTACCATCAGCAATGTAACATTTAATATCAGCATGTCAAACATTGCACAAAATCTAAAAGTGATACAATTCTTATCTAGAGGACTTAGACTCACTAATATATGGATGAGGATTTAGAGAAAGGAAAAATGTACTAGATGAATGTTAGGGTTGATTCTCCATCTGCGGTATCAAAGAAAGCAAGGGGCATATTCTGGATAAGCTCCAATGTACACTTACCCCTCTGCCCATCAGGCCATTGTTGAAAGGAAGGCCAATAAAGCTGAAGGCTGCCTCCTGGATAAAATATGGATTCAGTATTCGGATCTCATGGGGCTCTCTTGGAACATGGGTTGCCACAGACTTCCAAAAGCCATCAGAAGCACTCTGTAAAAATGCAAAGGCCCATTGCAGATGGTTAGAGAACCCAAGTGCAGTAATCCTGATTTCCTTTTGAACTCCCCAGCACTATAGAAAGGAATTACAAATTTGGTACTAACCCTAGAGTCTAATAGTCAATTGTGATAACAGTTGGGAAACAATACACAAAACTAAAATGATGGGTCTGTTCCAACCATTCTTATCTGGACCTTTAAGACAGAGTCCATCCACATACCTTCTTCAACTATCTTTGGAAATTTCATCTGATTTATAATCCAGGACAAATAAGCCTTGTTTTGGAAAATGTACTCATATAATGAGGAGAAGAAAAAAAAGACAATGAACATAATGGCACGCAATTTTGTTCATTTGTTTATTATTATGCTCTTAAATTTAAGGAATATATTACCGACCTAAGTGGGATCAATTGTATGAGTATGGATTGTTTTCCCAATATTCATTCTTTATTGTGTACTTTCTGATGTTTTGAAAACACCACTTGGTTTAGAAAACAGTGAATGAAAAGAGAGGGGTGGTGCATATTAGAGAAAAGAAAATCATTAGTAGCATACCTTGGTTGATTTCACAGACTAAGCACATTTGGCTGTAGGATTGTCTGGGAATTCCATGGCTAGTCCAGGAAGTTAAAAAAAAAACAAAACCAAATCCAGTGGAAAGACAACAGCAATTCATTTTCAGAACACTAACAAGTAAACTGCAATTACAGGAACTGAGTTTAGCTTAAGGGCATTTTATTTTGATTTAAATACTGTACACAACAGCTACAACAGATGATTTCCACAGACAGCCTTCATACTTCAAAGATTTTATTTCAAATTCAAATTCAAAATCATATTTCAAAGATTTTACACAAAACATGCTTGTCTATTGGAAGACAACCCCTTATGGAGAAGAACAGTAGAAAGAGGAAAGAACTCTTCTAGTATGCCCATAGCCATGCAAACTCCGCTTTTCGGAAATAATGAAAAAGATGAAATTTAATTTAAGGTATGCTTGGAAGAAAAAAATAAGATCCAGCCTGGCTGTTCCCTAGACTGACCACCAAGACTGGTAGTATATTCTTTTGTTTTCACAGTGAACTATACAGACAGTGTGCCCTTTGCACTTGTGGACTGTAGGGAAAACAGAATGTCTACAGAAAAAAACACCTCATAAATCCAGGGCAGGGAGAACCCTGACAGATGAGGAAACTAGGCTCTCAGCTCATGTCTAAAATGGATTACATATCTTTATTTACTATAGTTTGGTCTCTGCTTCTTATAGTGCCCATGGGAAAATGAACTATTTGAAAATCCACAACTGAGGAAAGATTAGTGGAGACAAATAAAGTAATTACAGAGTGTCTGCTATAGCACTGATCTCCTCCAAAACTTAATCCATTTTTTAAAAATTTCATTGTTAAAAATACTCTAGTCCTGGAACATAGTGGGCGATACAAGATTGGGATCTCATTCCCATTGAGCTCCATGAACACAATCTTCAGTGGATCTAGAAACATGCCAATTTCACAACATATTACGATCAGAAACAGCTCCAGAGGTTGTACCTGTTTCAAATTAAAACATGCAAATGTGCAATTAACAAACTGTTTTTTAAGAATTCTCATGTATCATTCATTATGAATTATCTGCCTCCAAAAACAGTTATAAAACCTATTGGGATTTAATGATTAACTAACAAAATGATCCAGTGGACATTGTACTGATTCCTATCCTTTCTTTCCTCTGATGTTTTCTTTCTCCCACTCTATCCACTGAGAGTCTCTTCCATCTTAAATCTTTATGGTTGTCTAGCAATGGTTAAAATGTATATGGGAAAAATCCTCCTGACAGATGCATTGTACCTGGACAGCACAATAATGCTGAGAGAGAGAGAGAGAGCCTGCTACAGCTTTCCATATAAATTCATTTACTTATATTTAAAACTTCTGCACAAGGCTGAGGTCACTCTCTATTTGGTGACAAGCAAGTTCATGGCATATAAAGCAAATGATTCATATATAGTAATATTTGCATCAGTTGTATTGCAATAATGCTTCAATATTGCATATGATAAGAGGCCAGCAATATGCGTATGGCAAACGTACATGTGTGTGTGTATGAAAAAAATGTTCTTACTGATGTATATGACTTATTACTTTAAAGATGAAACACTTTCCTCTCCAGCATAACAGAAAGATTAGAAGTATGTTATGCATTCACATTTTGGGGAATCAGAGTTCAAAGAGGTATACCATGCAGATTAGCGAGTATTTTGGGTATACTGATACTGAACTAAATGTAAATGAAAAATGGATGGGGAGAAATGTTGCAGTTTCTTTGGAAAAAAAAAAACACCTCAATTATCTTTACCCTTCAAATGTAGTTAATGCGCTTTTATTTAATAAATGTAATCATATTAGGTCTATTCCCCTAAGAAACTAATATACATTCTCTGATTGGATAACATAATTCATGTGGCTAATTAAGAATGCAGGAACCAGCAGGCAGAGAGAAAAGGTCTTGGTAGCATAAAATCCATTTGAGGAGTACTGTTGGGTGGGCTTTGCCTTAATTCAGGCTTTGTCAGGTCAGAAAAACATAGTAAACTATGAAAGACCTCTTTATAATGAGGGCACAAAACTTATGGCCCTGACCAAATGAAATCCTCCAAGGCCTTGAGCATGATTCCACTGTGGGCTCAATGATCAAGCATGGAGGTGGTAGTGTCAAGGTTTGGTGGTTCTTTGCCCCCTTACACCTGGTCAACTTGCCATCATTGAAGGAAGCATGAATTCTGCTTTGCACCAGAGAATTCTGTATCAGAATATCAGGCTATGTGCCCATCAGCTGAAGCAGTAAGACAATAATCCAACATATACAAGCAAGTTTAAAAGAGAATGAATTAAGAAGAGCAAATACAATGCTTTGGAATGCCCAAGTCAAAGTCCACATCTAAATGCCACAACCCTCAAATATTACTGAGCTGAAGCAGTCTACCATGGAGGAATGAACCAAAAGACCTACACAGTGACACAAAAGACTGATCACCAGTTATAGGAACCAAATTGCATTTGATTGCAATTACTGCAACTAAAGATGATCCAGCTGAATACTGAACCTAAGATGATAATTTTTTTCACACTGGCATGCTGCACTTTGTTTATGAAAATAAATAAAATTTTTGATTTTCTTTGTATGTTCCAACTCTCTCTCTACGTATGTATGTATGTAGTGCTACATGACGTTCTGATAACATTCAGTAGCAAAGATCTGCAAAAATTCAACCAGTCAGAAAATATCCATTTCCTTGAAAGTAAACTGATAAGGTTGCTCCCTGCCACTCTCTTGAGCTTTCCAGAATGCTCTCTACTCCTTCGGTTCATTTTTTCAGGAAAGGCTGATATACCTCTAACAAAGCATTAGAATGTAGGTACTGTCATTTAATTTTCTAAGAACACCCCTGAGGCATATGTAAGACCAGAAACATTATTGTAAATAAGGTGATACAAGAAGTTGGTGTTGTGCTTTGCAGCGTGCAAGTTTTCTTTCATGAATTAATATGATTTAGAAAATGATGTTTGGAAAGCATCACTATTTCAATGAACTGAAGAGGGAAGCTTCAGCTGTGCCTAGAATTTGGCTAAATTGGGCAAAAGACCGGGATCTGGACCCCCCGCCCCCCGCTTGAGTCCCCGGCAAGTGAAGTCTTTTGTGTGTTGGTAATAGAAATGGAATCATAGGAGTTTACTTACCGAAAAAAAGATGAGTCAAACTTCCTAAAATTACTTCAATCAAGGAAGAACAAGAGAGGTGGTTATAAGCTAAGGCTTGTAAAATAGATTTGGGAGGGTGGAATCATTTTATCTAAGGAAGAAGGGATCAAAGCAGGACACATACAGACTGAGTTTGTTTACACCTTCTCTAGAATCTCCCAATATCCAACACAGAGTGGAATGTATTCTGTCACTTCAGCAAAGACATGATGCATGGAAGAATATGTACAATATAAACAGGAGAGCAATTAGAAGATGGAATACCTGGTAAGTATCTTAGTTTGCAAGTGAATGAATTTATTTCCCTCTCCTCTGAACTTGTCAACATTCAGCCTTCTCCCTCTACAGGATACTGAAGTTGTTTTCATTATCAGATGGGGAGTTGCATTCTTAGAGCTATTTGATTCCCTGGCAAATGCATGTGCCAACAGTAGTTGAAGAGGGTAGAGTTAAGTTGGGAAATTTCAGGGAACCCTTCTTGATGTTAGCCAAATGCCTGAACTGACAGAACTAAGGAAAAGCTCCACAGAGGGTGTTAAAAAACAAAGGTATCTCAAGAATGTGTGGAGGATGATATTAGCACTGCTAGTTTCTCTAATCGTTTGCACTAATGTGTTGGATAGGTTCAGAAAGAAAATGCTTATCTGTTCTTCATTACAGAAAGCCAAAGTAAGAGGTCTAAAGAAGTACTGTGGCTAAGCTCTTTCCAACACTTTGTTTACCCATATCCCATTAAGCCTAGAAAACTGACTTATTTTTATATAGTTATTTGCAGGAAGGAACTATTTCCTTCAGAAATAGCAGTGAACTCTCACAACAAAGAACATTTGCCATCAAAGAGAGCTACATTATGAAAGCAGAACCTGAGTAAAACAAACATGATGGAAATTTCCTTGGACACTCCCACCCTTGATGCTAAAAGATCAGGAGGAGTCTGATAGCACCCATTTCAACTAACAGATTTTATTAAAAGGCACCAGCTTTTGTGAGCTGCAGCTCACTTCATCATAAGAGAAAAGTGTCTGTAAGAAAAAAGAGAGAGATAAAACAACCCACAAATACATTAAAAAGACAAATCAAAGTCAAAAAGTAAAACCGGAATTACAAAAGCCATGTGCTCACAAAACCTAGTTGCAATCAGAGCGTCCCCCCCCCCTCCTGTGCTGGACAGAACAGAGGAGTCTTGACATCTTTCCTAAAGCCCAAGAGGGATGGAACCTTATGATGAGAC